AATAGAAAAAGAGTTAGTACTGTGAATATTTGATTCGTCTTGGAATTTCTCGGATAAAAAAAACTCTATCTTGTTCAAGACAATACGAACATATCGACGAAAAGTAATTATTGATCGATTCTATAAATTGTGGGGAAATAGAAAAAGAGTTAGTACTGTGAATATTTGATTCGTCTTGGAATTTCTCGAAAAAAAAAACTCTATCTTGTTGAAGACAATACGAACATATCGACGAAGAGTAATTATTGATCGATTCTATAAATTGTAGAGAAATAGAAAAAGAGTTAATAGTGTAAATATTTGATTCGTCTTGGAATTTCTCGAAAAAAAAAACTCTATCTTGTTGAAGACAATACGAACATATCGACGAAGAGTAATTATTGATCGATTCTATAAATTGAAAAAATAGAAAAAGAGTTAGTACTGTGAATATTTGATGACACGTTTATCTTGGGATTTGTAACGTTTCGCAAATGTTACGATGAATCTATAAATGTATATATAATGAATTTATAATGTTAATAATTAAAATTACGTAAAATATCGAGAGTGAGTTCTACATCAAGATGGAATCGAACATTCTTATATTTTTCTAATACGAATATCCACGGCCCATCATATTTCCATCAACCAACCAAAGCTTCTGTTAGCTTCAAACTTAAATAATAATAAATTGAAAGGAAACTTTACTTAAAATAAATTGAAAAGAACTACTACTTGCTAAAAATACGCAGAACAAACAATATCAATAGTATCAAATAAAGTATCAAATAAAAAAATAATAGTATCAAATAAAAAATAATAGTATCAAATAAAAAAAAAAATATCAATTCAGTGCAGAATTGTGAAATAGTCGAGTGAAAAGCGGGGGGCTCCACCTTGAAGAGCAAGACGCAGTAAGACGTAAAAGATTTTCGCGAGGACACTCGATGGCCGTGTCCTGACGGAAGAATAATAGCGTGGGGAGGTTGTGGAGAGGCGCGAAAGGAGAAAACGAGGGCAGATGATGGACCAGGTCTCTCTCTCTCTCTTTCTCTCGAGTTGAGTAGTTAGCAACGGAGAAGCGATTTCGATTAGCCAGCTCGTTGAACTCGTGCCTCGACCAGGCGACGATCCACGTCGCCAGCGAAAGGCCCTGCGAGAATTTTATCCAGCGAGGATCCTGTCTCTCTCCCCTCTCTTTCTCTTCTTTTCTTCGCAACCCTCTGCAACCACAGACACTCAATATTGCGTTTGTCTGCCGGTGATCTATGACGATGCGAATCGTTCGATGCTGAAATTGGAGGCAATTGTTTCGTCGAGAGGGACACGCGGTTTCCTTCGGTTGAAATTGACTTCCCCCTTTTTCCTTCTCCCCCCCCCCAAATAATTTCTCTTTCTTATTCGTATCTTTTCTTAAATTCTTTCCGTTCTTCTTTCTTTCTTTTTCTTTTCTTTTGGTCTATTTCGTTGGTGGAAATATCCAGTGTAAATGGTTTCGTCTCGATCAAGAGATCAAAATTAAAATGCGCCTTTTCTCAGGAATGTGACACGATACTGTGTTTCTCTCATTTTTCATGTAAACATTTCTCCTCAACTCCGTAATTTAACTCTGAAACGAAATGCAAAGACAAACTTGAAATTCCATCTACGATCCACAATCTGAAATGAAAGGTGTTATACATTCGAAATCGAGACTCTGACAGTAAACAAGCAATACACACTGTCTATAAATTAATTTTCAAGAAAAATCGGAATTTACCAGATGACCCAAGTCTGTTCCAAAATTCTCCAAAAATGCAAATTTATTGGAAAAGTGGAATTTGCGCAGAAGCAAATTCGAAGCTGTGAAGAACTGTACTTTCACAATTGTTTTCTTTTTTTTTTTTTTTTTTGCCAGATCTCTAAATTGAAATTTAGAGAATTTAGAAAAAACTTAGCAAATTCGAAGCTATCGGAACTACGAAGAAATCTGCTAGAATCTGTACTCCTTTCTTCCGCCAAGTTCAAAAAGAAAATTAAATACTTGCACAAAAGAATTCATAGTCTATAAGAACTCCTACAATCTCTTTGAAATCCACGTGATCTACAACTTCAAGCTGCTTGCACGTGTAATAGTTTCGCTTTTAACCATGGTGTCGTTTGTTTTCAGAGACCAGAAGAGCGAGAGCCAGAGAAAGAGAAAAGGTGGAAATTTGAAAAAACGACGCATAAAACAGATGTAACTACGTGTCAGAGGGTGAGTTGCGCAACGTAGCATTTTAAGGAATTCCTCAAACAGTAGCTTCTCCACTTTCCCTTCTCTCTCTCTCTCTCTCTCTCCTCTCTTTCTCTCTGTTATCCTCTGATTTACTGGTATCCGTTGAGGAAAGACAGGTTGGTTCTAACAAACTCAAACGGAATTTCGCTTATGACATACTTTTTCGCTGAACCTGCGTGTTTGCAGACGGCTCATTCCACCCCCTCGGGGTCGTCCGTCTTCTGTAAACACGTCTTCCCCGAATCCACTTTCCGCACTTTCCTCCCCTTTCTTCACCCTTCGCAGGATTGTCCTCTCGCCGTGCAACAAACCTTGGATTTTTTCGGCTGTCGAGCTGACTTTCGCGGATGCAATTGTTGAATCATGTTCAAATAAAGATATTAACAAAGTGGTGGTTAGCAAAGTTACCAAAACATGGTGAGAGAGAATTTTGAAATAGAAAACACGGGGAGGAATTGTCTATAAAATTCTAAAATATATATAGAGGATCATAAGCCAGTCAGTGTGAACTTCACTTCTTGTTGAAAATAATTTAATATATCCTTTTATTGTTAAAATTCATTTTATTATTGAATCGTGTTCAAATAAGGATATTAACAAAGTGGTGGTTAGCAAAGTTATCAAAACATGGTGAGAGAGAATTTTGAAATAGAAAACACAGGGGGGAATTGTCTATAAAATTCTAAAATATACATAGAGGACCATAAACTAGTTAGTGTGAACTTCACCTCTCGTTGAAAATAATTTAATATATCCTTTTATTGTTAAAATTGTCGAAACTTTTCAGCCATCGTGATGTAATTGTTGTGATGTTTTCGTGGACTGAAGCTTCTTTCTGGTGAGAAAAATATGTCACTTTCAAAGGAAAATTTACTTACATGAGTCTGAGTCTTCCATGTATATTTATATTGGATATATTAATTAAATACAATATAATAACTTTCATAGAATTCCATAAAATTAGTGTAATGGAAAATTAAAGTTGGAATGTTTCGATGAATTCTTTTTTTCATTAATTTTAATTTTGTAAATAGACACATTGCTTGAAACGAATATTTTCAATTGTTTGAGATGAAGAATAGAAAAAAATTATACTGGCAAAACCTTGTTCAACCCTTCCAGTATTGAATATTGTATCGAGTATTTAATAATCAATAATAAAACAATTGATATATATATATATAAATATATTGAATAAATGTTTCAACGATGAATGATCTTTCTTAATTTTAATCTACATTCTCCTCGTTCAACGTCAAGTTTCTGGATTTTCAATATTTTTCAAGCACTCAAAGGAGTTGAATAAATTGCATCGAATATTGTTATATCCTGAAACGAATAAAAAACGATGTATGATTTCCACAGTGATAAAAGTGATAAGAAAATTTGAAGTGGGAAAAGTAATTGTACCCATAATCTGAATTGCACGCCGCAGAGTCGTTCAACTGCGTTAAAACAGCGAACAGTGTCACTCGAGATACCATGTTTGTCATTAAATTACTTTCGATAATCTCTCCCAAAGCATTATCGCAGATGGAATTTTCCAATCTTACAAAGCGATATGAAAACTCGTCAGCCTCGGAATTCTACGATTCCGACGTTCAACTATCCTAACATTTGCACAAGCATTCCTCGTATTTCCAGCAGCTTTTCACATTACACTTTCATGCACGAGGTGTTCCAACGATCGATAGATAGACGGCTGAAATCACATAAAGATTTTATAAATTCAGAACAATTATATTATATCTAAAGAACGAATAACTAATCTAATTCATTCGATGGTTACATACTATGGAATGTATTAATGGAATTGAATGTTTTAAAAAGTTTATTGGAGAATTAATTAACAGATATGGGAGGAAATAAATTCTTATCTTGTTAATGAAAAGAATCTATTGAGAAAGTTTAAGAAAAATTTATCATAGAAATTGTTAATCTTAAAAGAATAATTACATTTGAGAAGATATTGAAAATTCTTTATACAAATGTGTAATCATATTCAACTGGAACGCTCTTCACATTTCACTTGCACTTATTCTTACAAGGCCAATTATAACTCAATTTCTCGAAATTCACATCATATGTTATTTCACTTTTCAAGCTTCTCTTTGACCATCGTTCTACCAGATTATCGTACACAAAATCCACAGTTATTCCTACAACAGTTCAACAATTATATTGTATGCAATCAAAAGGCCAACATAACCTAAACACATAACCATTCATAGTCCAAAGGAAAATACGTACTCGCTGAAAGGTACGAAAAGGCCAACATAACCTAAACACATGACCAATTCATAGTCCAAAGGAAAACACGTACTCGCTGAAAGCTACCTGTAGAAATTTTGCAGGTCGTTTCATTTGTACACACAGCACAACAGATCAAGCTCTCTCGGAGATCTCCCTCTCGCGTTCTAATCGCGAATCGGATCAGAGAGTGAACAAACCTCACTAAATGGGCGCGTAGCAGCTGGTTATTCATGCGCACGAGGAACAGGTTCCCGTGTCATTGAAATCGGCAGAGGCATGCGAATATATACGATCGGTTTTGCCCACCGATGCTCGTGCAATCCGTGCACTTATGTACACAACAAACGCGTTCGTGTCGTCTTTATTCGCGAGGCGGCGGCCTGTGTATCTATCTGAGTCTGCGCATCTAATAATAAACGGGTCGAGCATTGTTGGAAAATGGGTCGTACGCGACGGCATCTATCGAACGATGTATCGAACGTACTACACCTACTTCACGATACATTCCTGTGTGCATGGACAGAGAACAGACTCT